TATCTTTTTTCTTCATAAGTAATGATAATAATAATTATATAACAAAACAAATACAGAGACAGCAAAACCACTGTCCGATTAACTCTTTCTCGTCTTGTAATTGCACTAAAAGTTTCAGTAATAATAAGGCATTCAATGAGACAAATAAAAAACATCACTCGATATATAATGAATTGTTTGCTGCGGTTTTCTGTAACGAGAATTCATAATATAATTATAGTTAAACCGATGGCTAAAAAACACTCGTAAACACAAATGAATTCATCAACAAAATAGTAGTCACTAATAATGTAAACACATATATAACTAGAGCTGCAAAAAAGTCTTAAATCCCTAATCCTTCTCATCCTTTACTTCTTATTCTCGTTCACATATGGCTTAACACAACACATAAGAAACCAAAACTTTTTTCCCTACTTATGGTGTCTGAAATTCATTGTACTTCTAGCGAGAGATTAATTATCAACACCTTATGGACGGACATGTTTTATGGGAACTAATCATAAGAGCACTTATTAATTAAATATATTTATATTATTTGTTATTCTCTCACAATTGCATATTGAATATAATGGATGAGTATATGGCACTCATATCGGCATCGATTACACTAATCAAATATAATCTTTAAAACTTGTTTTAGTTGTTGTTGTGTTATGTCATTGTAATTATAATCTACCATTTGTTTGTGTAAATCATAAACAATTAACATTATGTCTGTTTATAACTTTGAAATATATATGAAAAACAAACTAACGTCAAAAATAAATGTAAATTCTTTATGAATTAATAATTAAATTATTAGTTATAATATATATAGTATTGGCACACATTTTCATAAGACTTTGTCGTTATTATTAAGTGACATCAAATCAGAGGCAATGAATTCTCACTCCAATTCCTACAGTTAACAAAACTTGCGTTTTTTGTGGTTAAGTATTGTGTGGTATATGTGGTTAAGAGAAAGGGAACAGACATATAATGGGTTTCATATGTATATTATAATAGTATTGTACGCCTTATTGTAATTGAGATTTTTTTGTATGTGTTTTGTAAATCAGTTGTCAGTTGAGAGATGATTGCGAAGACTATTATATACATCGATATAATAGTTAAGAGGAGTAGTGGTAGTAGTAGTAGTAGTAGTGTAGTAGTGATGGTAGTAAATGGTAATTGTTTTTGCAATTATTGGTTAAATAAATTGTTTTGTTTGTTCACTTGATATCTCACTCTCGCAGCGATCCGCTCCTCTAAGACGCGGGTCTTTGCGTTGCGGACAACGTATCATACGGTAGGTATCGGTTAGTGGCGGTACTGCGCTGTCGCTTATCCTTCCCGAGAGCCGTACCTGTGGTTTACAAGTGGACGGAGCGGTACGGGAGTGGAGTAGTGACCACATGTGGTAGTGATTTGAGTGGACGGACAGCATAACAGATAGTGTGTCGGGGTTTTGATTCAGGTGTCAGGTGTGTGGGGATTAGTAAAGAAATTAAAAGCATTAGTTAATTAATTGTTTGATCAATAATTTGCAATTAATAAGTATTAAAATTAATAGAAAAATATTAATAATATAAACATTAATATAAATATCTAAAATAAATAACATATTTACCAACAATTTTAAATTAATAAAACTTTTCGTGATTTAATAAAACTCTTTTCACTCGTAATATATTTATCATATATCCATATATTTATAATTATATATTATAGAAATAATTATAAATATAAATAATTATAAATAATAAAATTATAAAAACATAAAATAGATGCCATTGAATACTTGGAGGATCAAAATAAACCGTAAATATATGATACACTAAATTATATTTCATATATTCATAATATAACCAAAAAACAAAATGACAATAAAAACAATACTATTTATATATATATATTACATAATGTATATTTTATAAACTTAATTGATAACAAAATCAACGTAAAAACCCACCGGATGAGGTAAGGGAGTCAATGACGGCTGTGCCGCTATGTGTGGTCGGGTAGTCGGCCAAAAGGGCCGCCGCCTGAGCGTACTGTGAATGGAAGTCGGCGTAAGGGCTGTATATAATACCGCTATCGGGCGCTATCAGTGGCGGCAGACCACTGCCATTCATGTGATGGGCGGCACTCGTAGGCACTGTGAACTGCCGGGAGCTGATGATCAGCGGCGCACCGATCGGGTGTTGCGTGTGTCTCATGGGTGTTGTGGCCAACATTGGTATATGATGTGTCAATTGCTTCAACTGCTCCGCGTCTATACCCAATTGCATACACTGCTCGACTACACCCATATTATACGGACAATAGACACCAATACATCACAATTAGATAAACGGTTAATGAATTTGAAACCAAATAATCGATTCAATGTAAACGTACTGCTATTTCGTTGAGTACTGTCCCGATAAGTGCCGTTAATGATCGCCAGTTCCATGAGTTGCCGCTTCTTTAGCTCATCCTCGCCGTCAGTCTAGAAACACATTAATGTTATCAACAGCTCATCCAAACACCGCAAATGTAATTAACAAAACACTAACGATTGGTATAAGAAGTTTCTTGATCTCGTCGATGGCCCGCTGTATCTTAACGTTCGCCCTATTGTTGGAGTCCTCGACAGTGATGAGCACATGGAGTTTGTCGTTCAGGTGCTCCCAATTAGGTTTGCCTCGATTGGCCTCTTCCTGATTGCCATAAAACACAACATTTAAAATTAGTTTCACTTTAAATGTATAAAAAGATTACAATTCGAGTCAAAAACCCAAATAATAAAATATTAATGTATTTTTTCTTTTTGAGTTAATAATCGTTTTTTTGAAGAAACCATTAAAAACACAGATAGATATGTAAAGAGAGACAACAAAATGAGTTAAGACTTACAGTAATTTATAGAAAAGTAGTCATTAAATGGAGATATTATTCCGGCATTAGTTTTAAGTAAGCATTTGTTTAAAAGAAAATACATAAATGTAAATATTTTTCAATATAGGAGTAGTGAGTCATCAGGAATTAGTTTTTCATTAAAATAAATGAATAAATAAAGGTTTTAATTAAGAAAACAATAACAAAATCAAAGCCCACGAAAGGGAGCGATTAAATGAGACAAACATTTAAGGAGTGATCATATAATGGACAG